TTTTTTATTTTATGAATATTTACACTTGTGTTGTCAACCTGGTTGTACACTAGGTTGGTTATGTAGCATTACTCGAGGAATAAAAAAACAAATCTTTTGACTGAAAAAAATATTTTGATTGGCTTTTAGTTTTTTAATTTGTGGGTGTTGGACACCTTTTTTTTCAAGTTGTTTAAAACTTTCAAGGACATTGAGATGTTACTTCTTCTCGTTTTTAATACTATGGCAATTTTAGCTCGTTAAGGCCACTTGGGTTTCGCAAATAACTACGAAAAAAAAAAAAATATATATATATATAATGATCAAGGACAGAACTCTTCAAGTTTGATCAGGCTAGCTCATTCATATTCAGGAGGCTAAAAGCATGTCCAGGAAAACACTTCTTTAACCGAAATATACAGAACTTTATAATGAAACGAATATACCATAACTAGACTCGTGATATTCACACCAAAAACATATCACACAAATTCAACTTTACTATGTGCTGTGTGTATAAGGCTTTTTAAACCATCTCGACAATTCATTCATTCACCCAAACACAACAGTACAATTCTCATGTAAACATATCATAACTGAAAATTCATTGGGCTATCTCTCAGCAGTCTAAAAAACATGCAAAATCTATGAGCCTGTGTAACGCCAATAGCGGTTGGCCTTGAAGAAGATAAACGACATGTGCATTTGGGACTGTGATGACAAGAAAGTATAAATTTTCTTGTTCAGGCTAGCGTACCCCAAATAGGGATGCGATTAATGAGTTTACAAGTTGTATTTCAATTCATCCAAAGATCACATAATTACTCAATAGTGCAAAACAAAATGACATCATTCTAATTCCAAATGTATGGGGCCTCAGACACATGAATCAATCAAACTAATAATAATAACAATAATCACTTCACTAGATCTCCTATATAAAAGTCCTCAATCAAGTCAAAAACGCGGGTAGCATGTTGTGGCCTGTCAATATGAAATGTATAGCATTAAGTTATTATTCATTTACCCAAAAGAGCACCTGATAAAGTTCACGGTTTTAAACGAGGCAAAAGTGAGTTAGAGGGAGTCATCAAATTGTTGGTTAAAATATTTTTCAAGACAATGCTAAATACACACATGAAGAATTGAACAGAGTAAACAAGACCTACCCAAAGAAACCTTCAGTAGAATCATCGCCAGCATGTGCCAGGATGGCATCACCACCAGGGTGTTCTTCTACATAAGAGGTGACATCATAAACCTTCACAAAGAAGAAATTGCTCAAAAAAAGTTTTATTATTTATGTACATATTTTATTTCATTTCACAAGTAATACCAGAATATACACATTGAATTTTAGAGAAACCTTATTTTTAATGATAATCCAACAGTCGGTCCTTCTGTTGTGCAAAGAAACTTCGGCTTTGGTGTACACATTCAAGGCCTAAACAAACAGATTCAAAAACGGAAAACATCCTAAAAAATTCATACAATAAATTCAACCAACCAAAACATATATATTAAGTAAACGGTGACAACTGGGGTGGAAACAGAATTAACGGGGGTTAAGTTACAGAAAACAGTTCAAACCTTTTTTTTTTTTTTACTCAAACATCAAATATTATAGATAGAAACTCATAATGTACATGACGATAACCAATAGGTTACAGAGCGACTCCCGCCCATACAGCAAGACCAAAGAGTGGCTACCCAGAGGAGTATGCACGACTCCCCTAAAGGACCAGATAAGCCACACACAAGCAAAAAAAACAACAACGCAAACACCCCAACGCAACTAAAACTAACACAGAATCAAACCCAACAAAGCAAACAGAAAAAACAAGACCAATTAAACAAACCCAGATAGAGAGAAACAAATACTATTTCATTACTAAATTTTTGGTGCACCTATCGGCCAACATTGTCATTACCTTTGAGTTTTATACCTCACACTGGTTATTAGGTATTATGTCGAGATCAAAGCCACATAAAATTACAACTGTTAGTAACTTTCTTTCACCATTCGTCTCTTTGGAACTTGAGAATCATATTGCTTTGACGAATAATACAATATATCAGATAAAATGGACATTCAGAAGCAGCAAAGCAAGTATCAAATACCTTGGCACTAACATGAGACTTCACCAGTTTCCCATTATCTGCAACCCATCAAATTAAATCAATCTACCGAGAAATACAGGAACACCACACACACAGTTTAACTTTAATGTCACACAAATGGGCACAAAATACTAACCAGATTTACGAAAACGAGGCGCAAAAATTAACAGGCACAATACAAAACCTAGAAATGATGTTATCACCAAAAGATCCATATTTCAACTGTAACTTATGATATAAAGAGAGAGAGATGATGAAGAGAAAATTGGACTGAGATTGACGACCTGTGGCGACCACAACGGCGTTCGAGATTAGCTCACTACACAATACAACTGATTCGCCCTTACTTCCAGATTCCTTCTCTGATTAATTTATTAGTCGAGCTCAGGGCCGTAAACGAGCTCGAGATTAGGGTAATCAGCTCGAGCCCTTAACAAGTCGAGCTCATTAATTAAATGAGCTTGAAAACGAGTTCGAGCTCTAGCTAGGCTCGTTAAGGCCCCGAGCTTGAGTCGATCTCGAGTTTTAACGAGTCGAACTACAAAAAAATATATATAAATTATGTTTTCGAGTTTTAACGAGTCTTATCGAGCCGAGCTCGGATCGTTAACCAAACGAGCTTTAAATGAGCTCGAGCTCGTCTCGTTAAGGCAGCGAACTCGAACATTAACGAGCCGAGTCGAACCAGATTCGTTCCCTTCAATTCGTTTTCCCATTGTACGCGTATTGAGTAATGCGTCGCGTTTTGGTTTTGTATTTATACTACATAGCGTAAATAGCGTTGTGTATTTCGTAAGCTATTTTAGTATAAAAAAATATTTTATAGAAATATTATATATATACTTGCATATAATAAAATTGAATGGTTGATTCTAAAAATTATCATAATATTTGAATGAACTCAAAATAACATCTAAGAATTATTTATTATAAATGTTTATAACATAATATAGTTATTTAAATAATAAAGCGAATATACTAAAAAATAAATAAAAAAAACAACGAAAGTATAATAAGATAAGTTATAATTTATTTTCAAGCATATACATGGTAATTACTTTTTTTTCTAATTACAATTAATTCTAACCACTAGATTTGAACTTTTTATTCTTAAATTTAAATGTCAATATAAAAAAAAATAATGATATAATAGATCTAGACCGATATATATATTGCACTATTCAAAATAGAACTTTGTATTTTCAAACTTTTAATTGAAATCATTATCAAAATTTTTAATTGTTAATCATTTAAAAATATAATTATAATCCCAAAAAAAAATACAAGTTTTTTTTCAATAATTTATTGTTTAAATATCGTTGCAGAAATATAGCGCGAAATAGCGTAAAAAAGGGTTATTTCAGCATTTCGCATAAGTTTTTCGGGAAAAACGCAAAATATATAAAGCTACATCACGTTTTTTGGAAAAAAAAAACAATATAGTGAGCTATAACGAGCTATTTAAAACAACGAGTACAGGTCGTCTACGACTTAAAGAGCAAACTAATTAAATAGAGTGACCTGGAAGGTCGACCGACTTAAAGAGCGAACTAATCGAATATGATGACCCGGTAGGTCGGTTAGATAACAAGGACATCAGAGGTTGTGGGAACACGTGTCGATAATAACATCATAAGAGATGAATCGACTCGGGAACATACAGGGCCAATTTAATGAACCGGCCTTTTTGGGTCTGTCCGATTTATTAAAAAAATAAAATAATAAAAATTCATACAAAAAGAAGGTTGAATCGTCAGTTTGAAAAGATTTCAAATTTGTAAAATCTTGAATCAAAACGGCCCGGATAAAACAACGGGCGAGTTCAAAGCCCATGGTCAACGGTGGTTCAGGGCCAAATTCAGTCTGTGGTCATATATAAGTTCGGTCGAGTTCAATTTTGAGAACAATAACTAAATTATAATTAATGTTATCACATTTATTATATATTATTTCAGAATGCGCTGAGCTTAAGTGGCAGCTTCGCACGATTCGTAATCTTACATGGCAAAATATTATGCTTTGTAATATGACTTGGATGAATTTTTTTTTTTTTTTTTTAAATAACTTAGGTTCGGATTACTATATATATATATACACACATATTTAATATATTTAAATCATTCCATATAAATCTATTTATTATCTTCTTTCTATAAATGTGCATATAATTTTATTTTTCAAAATTTGTGTTTTTTATTTTTCAATTCTTTATGTGTTTATAAATAAAATTAATGATGTATATAAATTAATATTCATAATTTTAAATATTTGTTAATTCACTTAGTTATTTACTAAAAATTGTAATATGTTGTTCTTATTTATTTTTTTTCAACTTCAGCAAATATATATATATTTTTATTTTTTATTGTACATTTGATTATTTTATCAATCATCGGTGTAGTACACGGATATTGTACTAGTTTGTATATTTAATTAATGAGTTTTTTCAATACAAGACAGACATGTAAACTATCAAATTGGGACTTAGATTTTTTTTTTCTTCTCAATTCAGGACCTCAATTTTATAAAACTATCAAATTAGTCATAAAATTAACAAAAACCATAACACCATTACATGATATTTAATTTGAAGTTTTAAAACACCAAATCTGTTACAAAGTAAAAAAAAAAATGAAGAAAATTAAGGAAATATGAGATTGTTGGAAAAAAAAAAAGAAAAGTATGAAACTCTTGCTAGATTTTATTGCATAATTCACTTTTTTTTGAAATATTATGCAAATGGTTACTTATTATTTTATGTGAGTAAACATCAATCTTGTTGTCTATCGTTTTGAAAAAAAGAAAAAGCATCAATCTTGTCTTTTTTTTTTTTTTTTATAAACTCTTAATTTAATGGTGACATTAGTTTTGTTAATTTTAGACTTAATTCGATAATTTTATAACATTTAAATCCTGAATTAAAAAAATAAATATTTCACACTTCGATTTGATAGTATATCAATCTTTCATGTCTTATATTGAAAAAACTTTCTTTAATTTATAATAAAAATCGTAAGAATTATCGTATCATAATCATACTATTATTCTTAAAATCTGATTCACAGCGGAATAAGCAACAAAACAGGTTTGGTCTGTTTATCATTTCGATTTCAATCGGCCATAGCTGGCTAGAGGAAGACGACTCAGTGTGATTCATCGTATCAGCTAATCAGCAGCAGCTTCGCCGAGGCTATGGTAACCTTTTCCATACCTTTCTTAACTTCCGTTGTCTACGAATGAATGCTCATCTTTTAATTTTCTTATGCAACCATGTATTGTATGCGATGAACATGCTTGAGTTTTGTCCGATCGATTAGATCCGTTCGCTGTAAGTTTTTGTCATGAAATTCAT